TCTGGAGACTTATCTTGCCGAAAACATTGACATGCCTTAGACATCAGTCAGAATTGCTTGAACTGAACCAAAGCTTATATCCACTGCCCTAGCAATGCTTCGCTATCTCGCCTTTTGTCGCAAAGGACCAAATCGTGCACAGCTTCGACAGTTTCATCGTTGGTACCCTAGTTTGAACGTACAGGCCGCTAATCGTCTCCAGTGCTTTCCCTGCCCCTCTTAAATTGAGCAGCCCATTTTTTTCACAGTGCGATAGGAAGGGGACTCATTCCCAAGTTTATCCGTGAAGTCTCCATGGATTTCTTTAGGGGACATTCCTCTCTAACAGAGGTACCTAATGACGGCTTTGATTTCAAATTTTTCAAATTGGTCTGAATGACACAACCCCCTACTAATCAAAGTTTTATGTTACTTAGTCTGTGTAAAACCGCGTGAAACTCGTGTGTCAGTTATCTTCAATAAGATATCGGTATCGACGTATTGTGTGTAAATGTCAGTGTAGTAGCTAGAAGTATATCGGGCCATGAAGTTTTTGATCATACCTCGTAAAAGTATGCATTAAAAATAAACTGAGTATGATTGTTCATCATCATTCCCCCAAACTGTACACAGGAGTAGGTCACTGTATCAAGCATATTGACAAAATATGCCTCTTTTTCGTCTCAGAATTGCCGTTAAAGAATGTGTACTCCCTTAAATATTGTCAAAATTCCATAAACATTTGGATTATGCCCCCAACCTGTACACAGGAGGTAACTCTATCAAGCGTTTTTACAGAATTATGTTTCTAATTCGACTTATATTTACGTTAAAGTTTGTGTACAACCACAGAAAATTGCACTTTTCCAACGACATATGGCTCTGAGACTTTAGCCACTTGTTCACTATCAAAATTTCGATCTGTGTACCGAAGGAGGTCACTGTATCAACAGTTTTGTACCCCAACTATAGTCATGAAACCTTACAGGAATGTTGATCCGCATGTGTAGTGGTGCAGTTCATGCGGATATACTTAGTATTTTTAGATTTATTGCCCTTGACTTAGTTAAAATTCGCAATGTTCAACTTGTGTCGCACGTTACTCAAAATTGACCTAGACTCATGAAACCTTACAGGAATGTTGATCAGCATGTGAAGTTGTGCACCTGGGTATTTTTGTGTGGATATATTTAGTATTTATAGAGTTATTGTCATTGACTTAGTAAAAATTTCCAATTTTCAACTTGTGTCGCACGTAACTAAAATGTATTTGACCTAGAGTCATAAAACCTTACAGGAATGTTGTTCAGCATGTGTAGCTGTGCACCTGGGTATTTTCGTGTGGATATTTTTAGTGTTTTTAGAGTTATTGCCCTTGACTTTGTAAAATTTACAATATTAAAATTGTGTTGCACATTACTCAACAAGTATTTGACCTGTAGGCCTGAAGTTTACAAGAATGTTGGTCAGCATGTGTACTTATCCATATTGGGGTTTTCTTGTGGATTTATTCAGTATTTGTAATATTTGCCCTTTACTTAAAAAAATATTTTTAGTTTTCAACTTGGGCAATTATAGCCAAAAAATATTTGATCTAAAACATAAGATTGACAAATCGGTGTGGGGACACCCGTGTCCTATATACACATTTCTAGTTTACAATATTATGCTCATTTTTTAAAACTTTTAAACACAAAATAGCTGAGCACATTGTGATATTGACTGCTCTTGTATATGATTTTGAGTAAAATATTAAAAAAATAATTCAAGTTTGGTCTTAAATACATCACGGGAAATAAGAAGAGCTTACATTTGGACGACAAAAGCAAAACTTTTCCTTGCGGATAGGATATTTAATAGTTATACTAGGTTCTTAAGGGCGTAGACAGTAACTTTTCAGTAACTCTCATGAACAGGCTCAATCAAACCCAGCCTGCAACAGCACGTTTCAAGTATTGTATGGCAGCCGTAAAATCACCTTACTTAATTTCAGTGTTATTTTTAGGTCCTTTTGGATCATTGATTGCAAAACGTTTAAAGTTGAGGACTGAATTCTACTTAGCCGGTACTAAAAGGTGTGATAGATGTTGCCAATTACATTGTCTGTCATGAACAGACCCAATCAAACAGAGTCTAAATTATCAAGTTTACCTTGTTTTTATTGCTCTCAAAGGATTGTTTATTTAATTTCTTGAATTTAACAATAATGCCAATGACATGTTTATAGTTGTGTCTGATAGCTGATTTTCTTTTATATTGTTTATGTGTGGTGTAAGAAAACAGTAACTACTAAAGTGCTCTGTATGAAAATAGTTACCATTCAAGTATGTTGTATGAAAACAGTAACCACTAATTTAAAAAGTGTGTTATATGAAAACAGTAACTCTCAAGTGTGCTGCATGAAGAGAGTAACCACATAAGTGTGTTGTATGAAAACAGTAACCACTCAAGTGTGAAGTATGAAAATAATAACCCTTAAAGTGTCTTATATAAAAAACAGTAACCACGAAAGTGTGATGTAGTAAAACAGTCACCACTAAAGTGTGGTATATGAAAAGAGTAACCATTTAAGTGTGTTGTATGAAAAAAGTACCTCTTAAGTATCCTGTATGAAAACAGTCACCACTTAAGTTTGATGTAGGAAAACAGTCACCACGAAAATGTGCTGTATGAAAACAGTAATCACTCAAGTGCACTGTACGAAAACAGTAACAACTAAAGTATGCTGTATGAAAAACGTAACCATTTAAGTGTGATGCAGGAAAACAGTATGCACTCAAGTTTGCTGCATGAAAACGATAGCCACTAGATTTTGCTGTATGAAAACAATAAACATTAAATTGTGTTTTTTTAATTAAAAAAAATCAGTAACCGCTTAAGCGTATTGTATGAAAACAATTACAAAAAAGTAAACAGAAAACACTAAAGTATGTTGAATGAAAACAATAACCACGAAAGTGTGATATAATGAAAACAGTTACCACTCAATTGTGCTGCATGACAACAGTAACTACTAAAGTGTGTTGTATAAAAACAATGTCCAATAACGTGTGCTATATGAAAACGGTAACTACTCAAGTGTGCTGTACAATTGAAAAAAATACCACTTTAGATGCAATGAGAAACCATCTTAAGTGTGTTGTATGAAAAGAGTTACCACTAAAGTGTACTGTATGAAAACAGTAACCTGTCAGATTTGCTGTATGAAAACAATAACCACTCAAGAATGTAGAATGAAAACAGTAACAACTTATGTTTGCTGTTGAAAAAGGTAATCACTAAAGTTTTTGTATGAATATAGTTACCACTTTAATGTATTGTATGAAAACAATAACCACTAAAGTGTGCTGCATGAAAACAATAATCAATAAAGTGTGTTGGATGAAAACAATAGCCACTAAAGTGTGTCGGATGAAAACAGTTACCAACTTAAGTGTGTTGTATGAAAAAAGTAACTACTAAAGTGTGCTGTATGAAAATAGTAACAAGTAAATGTGTTATATGAAAACAATAACCACTTAAATGTACTGTATGAAAATAATAACCAGTTCAGTTAAGTGTGTTGTATGAAAACCGTAATCACTAAAGAATGTTATATGTAAACAGTAACCACAAAAGAGTGCTGTATAAAACAATAACCAATAAAGTGTGCTATAAGAAAACAGTAACCTCCTCTGTCTGCAAAGAAGAGACGCCTTGGTATATTTTTACTGTAAACAAATACATATACATGTAGTTAGTGTATATTCTCATTATTTTTCACAATACATGTACCTATTTTCTGGTTGTATGAAATTAACTCATACAATATAACAATTTATCGAAATTTTGAAAAGTTATATAAAGTACATACAAAGTACATATAAATACAAGGTATTGAAAGCTGTTTATGGTTATTCATGGAATGAGAGTTACCGTTTGATAGATGAAATATGATATTTCATCTTGTAAAGCAATTTGACGTACTTAAAAGATGAGGGGTTAATATTTGCTTAATGTTTCGTCAACTTACATTTATTAAAAATTAATGAAAGTTTTCTTAAAACCATCATGACATATACACCGATAAAAACAATCATAAGATACCTAACAAGTGGTTATTAAAACTGTGCTATTCTGCATAGCTAGATAGCTAATATAGAGACATATACAAGTTGCGTGAAATTAATGCTATTATCCTTATGTATATTTTCCCATTAATCCATTTGTCATATATTCAAACATCACCAGGGAAATAAAAGTGCAGTTCATGTCCTACACAGCCTATAGAAGCCCAATATTCACTAAGATTTAGTGAACACTGGGCCTGATGCTACATTTTTTTACTAAACCACTGTGTGCCCTCTCTTAAAGCAGCACGCCTCCAGATTAATGCCTATTTTCATGAAAAATTTTGAAAATGAAATTAAATGTATAATATTGTATATAAAATTAAAGAAAGCAATATACACATTATCAATGACACTTGAGCCTTCCCACGTTTATTACAAAAAATAAAGAGGTCAAAAAATGCAAAATATCCCTTACTGTTTTAGTAACACAGTAGAAATATAATAGTTATACATTATGAAAATTTCACTATTTTTGGCTCATAACATGTAAAATATTACATGAATCTTGAATCTTTCTACTTTTCCATGACCTAAAATCCAAGTATATTTTTCACAAGTTTGATTTATTGAAATATAATAAATTTTCGCACATCTGGAGGCATGCTGCTTTAAAACCAATGCAACATGTCAAGGATATGTAGGTGAATTCAAAATTCACGTAGAAATCAGTCTCTTATCACAGTAAAATATGCAGACGGCAACTCTTTAAATGTCATGACGATGAATATCTGATCAATTCTGCTGTTTCATTCATATTATATTAAGTGTATAAAGCTTTATCATATGAAATATTTTTATAAAATATAATATCTTTATAAAATATATTATATTGTTTCCATAATTTTATGGTTGATTCACAAAAAAGTCATTTACCTTCTTGATATTCTTAGCATTATCATTCAACATATTTTAATACTGTTTCACTTTATTATGGTGAACGATCACAATTATATCAAATAAAATACCTTCATCTTGTCTTCCATAGTCATGTAACATTTTTATCTGTTTTTGTATCCTTTGCTCTTCCTCTGCGATGAAATCATAAACTTGATTAAAAAATAATCAACTTAAAGAAATGACATGCTGTTGAAATGAAAACTTCTATTTCAAATATCAACAATGGTGATAATGCTCCAAATAATTGTCAGCTTTACCTTTTATTTTAATTCTAATTGGTCAGAATAAAAATGCAAAACAAGAGCTGTCACTGAAAAGTGACTTATGCCCCCGAATGGAAGCTTTGACCTAAAATCGGCAATATATGCAAAATACCTGTAATATACGTCTCCACCTTTGATAAATATAATTCCTAAAATTTAATTTATTGCAGTAGAAGTGTAAGAGAAATGGTCTAAACAAATTTTACTAAAACAAGATTTGAATATTTATCTCTGACAGCCATTTTGTGCAGCAAAGCGGAATATGCCATAGATATGCACAACTACAAGGGATGGTACTGATCAATTATGTGAAGTTTCATTGAAATCCCACCAGCAATTTGACCTGTGAAAGCCAGACAATAATTTTCTATTTATAGTTCTTGTGGCCATTTCGTGAAGCCAAGCTATATGTGTGGGCGATATGACAACTAGGGATGTTATGTCAAAGGGTCAATTTTGAATTATACTCTATAGTATAAAAGAAGACAATTTTTACTATATACATTTAAGGAAAATCAATGACCCAATAGGGCGGGACTAATTTGGACCCAAAGCTTTGATTTGAACAATGCTTATAGAACTTCCCAAGACAAAGTTTCATGCTAAATATCTGAGCTCTAGGACCTTTTAAACAAGTGGACCATTAAGGCCTTATATCGCTCACCTGATTATGAAGGCTCAGTCCAAATTTCCTGAATATTTGGACTGGAACAGTGTCCCATAGAGTGTTAACGAGGTTTTTCCATATTGGGGCTGTGTGACCCAGTTTTTGACCGCAGGTAACCCATAATTATACTAGACCAAGAAATTGCCAAAAAAAATCTTTCTCACCATTGTCAAAAAAAAATCAAATCAGTAGCTTCAAGAGTGTTAATAAAGTTTTTCCATATTTGCGCTGTGTGACCTAATTTTACCCCAGGAAACCTTTATCCGAACTTGACCTTTAAAAACACCAAACCAACCTTACTGGCCAATTTCAAAGTTTGATTTTGGACCAAAACAGTAGGCTCTAGAGTGTTAACAAGGTTTTTCCCATAGTGTGACCTAGTTTTCGACCCAAAGTGACCCATATTCAACTTGACCTATAAATCAAATAAACAACCTTCCTGAACAATTGCCAGGAAATTGTGGTCAAAACAGTTGCCACTAGAGTGTTAACAAACTTTTTGTCACCTAGTTTTCAACCCAAAATGACCCATATTCGAACTTGGTATATATTTTATTCAGACAAACATTCTGACAAAATGTGATTATGATACAACCAAAACTGTGACTTCTAGAGTGTTAACAACCTAAATGTTGATGAAGCACGACACACACAAAGCATGACGACGAACGCCGGATAAAGACCCATCACTATACCTCACCTTGACCACTTATGGTCAAGTGAGCAAAAAAAGAAAATTAAAAAAGTTTACTATATAAATATATCGAAAACACATTTTCCTGGGGCAGGACCAATTTTGACCCTAGGGCTATAATTTGAACAATCTTGGAAGAGGTCCACCAGATATGCCTTATGCAAAATCTTTGCTCTAGGCCTTTTGGTTCTTAAGAAACTGATTTTTAAAAATGAATTCTTATATTTGCTTTTGATTGCCATGGCAACCAGATTTCCTCATGGAATCAAATTCTTTGAACAACTTTCGAAGTCCTTCACCCAAGTAACAATTCTGACAAGTTTGCTTGAAATCGGACATGTGATTTTTAACAATTTGATTTTTTAAGTTCAATATATAATCTACATACATGCACGCACGCACGCACCAACACACACACACATACATGCATGCACGCACGCACACTTACACACACTTGACAGGTAAAATTGAAAACACTGACCACATCATTTTACAAGCTGATTAAATTGACAAAGCATGTTTACCGATACACTCATAGTTTAACAAGTTAGCAGTGTGACATACCTAATTCGCTCTTTGTCCTTTTCTCACCAAGTATCACATCCTCAATACGATTCTGAAGTAAATTTGAATTACATTGAAATTATAAAATAAACTATTTCTTTTTAAATCATGTTTTCTCATTGTTTTAAGTATGCAATATTATAAATGCTATAAATGATCTTTAAGGATGTATACTTTAAAGATAAAAAATTTATGAAACAAGAAGCACCCTAATGCTCATTTACCAAGTATTGATGTAACAGGAATAAGGAATGAAATATTGCAGTGAAATTGCTTTCAATAGGACACAGTTAACTTGTTATTATGCGGAAACTGAATTTTTTTTTTAGTAACTGAGACAATGACCTTAATAACAGATACTTGGATAGCAATCCAAAGCTGCCTCTTGATATAAGCTATCCATACACCAAGTTTGGAGTCAATAGGCCTAAGCAAACTCAAGCTATTTAGCGGAATCTCTTTATTTAGAAACAGTAACATTGACCTTGATCACAGATACTTGGGTAGTAATACCAAGCTGCCTCTTGATATAAACTTCCTACACACCAAGTTTGGCGTCAAAAGCTAAAGCAAATTTAAGGTCTTGAGCAGAATCCGCCCATCGACTGTAAATAACCGGTTTTCGTTTAAAATCTGGTAAACAATCACAGCAGGTAGTAAGAAGCAAAATTATAAAAAATAAAATTATATTGTTACTAGAATGTGTCTTAACGCCTTAAATTCCCCTGCATGCAGCCAAAATTTCAAATGGTGTCATAATATTAAGTTCCATATTTGTTTGCATACACCATTTTTTCATTCTAAGTACAAGACCCTTAAACATTTCAATGTTAACACACAACATTTTTATACAAAGTGCTAGCCCTGAAACGATTCAGTGTTAACCTTTTTCAAATTGGATATTGCATATTTGTAGCCAAGATATTGTGAAGTTCAAGGGGGATAACTGTCAAAAAAACATCTGACCATGACCAAATAAGAACGTGACTTGTATTTTCTGGTAAAATACCAGCACATGCAATGTCAACCTCGGACATACATTCCTACAAAAGTTAGAGAATAAACTAAAATTTCATATTTTTCTAAGTTCAAGAAGGATAACTCTGTCATAAATCATCAGAGCAAAACAAATTCGAACTTGACTTGTATTTTCTGTTAAATACCTGCACATGCAACCTTATACATACATTTTTGCAAAAGTATGATCGTGGAAACTTATTTTTTCAAGCGTTCAAGTTGAAGGTGTACAACTGTTCGGGGAGATAATAACACAAACTGAAAATTTCTTATTTCTTTCAAAGTTAAAGAAGGGTAGCTCTGTCATAAAGCTATGGCCAAATTCGAAATTGACCTGCTTTTTCATATGACCTATCCATGTGTTACATTTGAGTTAAATGTGAACAACTGTTGGGGAGATAATGAACGGAAACTGAGGGATTTTTTTAAAGTTAAAAGGACATAACTCTGCCAAAAAATCATCGAACCATGACTAAATTCGTACTTGATCCGACTGATCCTTTAACAGATCCATATGTCAATTTTGAGTTGAAGATACAATTAAATTACTCTGAAAACAAATCATTTAACCTTGACCAAATTCACACTTGACCTGCATATTCCTATGAGATATCCATGTGTTAAATTTGAGTTGAATGTGTACAACTGTTTAGGAGATAATGAACAGAAAATGAAAATTTTAAACGGACATAACTCATCGAACCATAACAATATTAAAACTTAACCTGGGCATTTTTTCACCTATCCATATGTCAACTTTGAGTTGAATGTGTTGGAAAGATAATGAACGAAAACTAAAAATTTCTTCAAGGGGCATACTTCTAAGTCAAAACCATCGAGCCATGATGAAATTCGAACTTGACCCTCCATCTGCCTATGATATATCCATGCGTCAAATTCGAGCTGAATTTTTGCAACTGATGCCAAGATAATGAACGGCAACTGATGATGAGGGAATGACGGAACAGGGTAACACTATATGCCCCAGCCATATTATGGCGGGCATTAGAATATTGTACGGACTGTTAAAAAGTATGTTCAAATCCAAAGCGACATACATGTAAAATACTACATGTAAATGTTTAAGGAACAACATTCAAACTGAAATTATTTGGTGCGCTAACTTAATCCGGCTCTTCCATTGCAATTAAGAATTTTAAGAACTGATCAAAACAAGTAAATAATATTATGTGAAAACAATGATTTTTTACAGTTTGATAATACCTGTCCAAAGTCAATAGTCTGAAAGGTGTCTGTGATTGTTTGAACGTTCCCTTCTGACTCTTTATTCTCTATTGCATATTCATTCATTTTTTCATCATACAATAGTTGCTGTGCAGATTCCTCTGTTTTTTCGTCGTCTGCAATTTTGTCTGTTTTAGCACAAGTGTACAATTGTTGTCAATAATGAAATAAGCTTTTTCTTCTTTTTAGTTTTCGTAATTTTCTACGCAGGAAATATTTCAAAAACATGAGTAAATAGCACTTGCTGTATAAAAACATTCAATTTTAAATGTGATTCATTTCAATTCGATTGTTAAAGCTGCTTGCTTCCAGAAAAAAACAAAAATATCTCAAGAAAATAAAACTTGAGAAAGATATACTAATATTTTAAGAAAAGTAAAATGATTCAAGATTCAAGTAATAATTATATGCGATTAACGACTATTTTCTCACTTTTCATCACCATATTTCTATTGCATTACTAATGCAGTAAGGTCTTTGTTTGCATATTTTACCTCTTTTCGGTAATTAACATAGCTATTTAGTGCAATGTGTAAATTACTTTACTTTTGAATACTTTTTTTAATTTTCATGAAAATTAGCATGAATCTGGAGGCATGCTGCTTTAACTATTATTTATTTCAACTAGTTAATTATATCAAAACAAATTAAATGGCATACAGTAATTATTACACATATTCATTAATGTTATAAATTGTCATTAAGGTATGTTTCCTTCAATTTTCTTTAGATTATAAACCATATTAAAGTGTTCAAATCAATAATAAATAGAGGTTTCTTGAAGGTTACATACACATTGATATTGCATTTGATAATGTCTTCATCATTTAAATAAAGAAACAATTTTTGTTATATACTTGAATTATGATGTATTTTACCAATTTTAACAGGAACTAGTTCTTCTGTCTCAAATTCATAACTACCAAGTGAGCTTGATCCTTCTGAATCTTTCAAATAAAAAATGCAAAAACAAACAAATAAATATTAATATATAGTTTTATAAGATATTCAAAAACGTTTTTGATAAAAACCTGTATACACATTTGAAATAATAATATATCATTTAGTACATTATAGGGTTTTCCACAAAAATAATAGCTGAATATGATAAACAAAATATTTCATGTTCAAAAATGGATTCATCTACCTCATTTCCAAATTATCTGTCCTGGATTTTTTTTAATCTTAGACCATTTCAAACAGCAGATAACTTATACATAAAACTAACTACACCAATCATTTTTCTTTTAGTTTATGTTAATTTTCTTACTCCATAGTCACAATACAAGATTTTTGAAAATTTAAGTAAACATGTGTGCTCCATTCAGTAAGTAGGGAGAAATTCTTTAAAAAATGTTTTGATGAAATTGCATCAGTATATACCTGAAGAGTAGTCCGGACAAGCTCCTGTGTAGCTGACAACAAACAAAAAAGCTTTTTTATTTGAAAGGCCATAACTCAGCCCAAACAAATAAATTGTATTAATACCTCTATTATTTTCTTCGAAAAATGTTTGACTAAAAATGATTTAATCGCATAAAACAAAATGAGTTTCCGATGTACAGTACCTGTATCTTTACACACATTTCGAAATTCCATCATATCAGGAATCAGTTTTATTGATATAGTTTCATTGAACTTCGCTGACATCTGTTCTGCAATTCTATTCAGACTATTTGTTGTTTTTTCCTGTTTTTTTGCAGATAGTACTGAAGTAATTCCGTCCACAGATGAACACTCGAGCGGAATACTTATTTCTTTGCTTGATGCTTCATTCGTGGTAGCTGTAAAAACAATTCTTTTCTCGTAATATTTTATTAGCACTTGATGTATTTGGGGTACAATATCTGGGGCAAAAATAACAAAGTTTTATATTTTCGGTCCCAGATTATATTAATAAGAAATCTTTAATTAATACAGAAATAAGAAACTTCATTGAGGTTTTTTGACATGACGAGACAGGACATATTGTTTGGATATAACTGTTCCATTTGATGTAAGCCTACATCAATAACTAAGGTGCAAAATTTCAAATCACTCACTCATCCCGTTTTCCAAAATTATTATTCTGATTGTAAAAAAATGACCCAAAATTGAAAAGAATTCCAACGCTTATCACTCAAATCGGGATAAGAATAGCACTAAAATACGATTTCAATTTATTCCTGAGTTTTTTTCTTTTTATTTTTTGCATATCTTCCTGTTTTAAGTGCACCAATTAGTCTATGTAAGCATTTCAAATTTTATGTTTAAAGCATCATTGACATATGTGGAGTTCCTTTAACAGACTAAAAATAATATATGTAATATGGTTTTATATATTCGTACTTACATTTATTTATCATCTTTGAAACCCTCGACACACTTTCAAGCGTGCACTTTCCCTGTATGAGGAAAGCATATCCGTATATGTAATGCAGCTCATTAGCTATATTTCGAAAGGTGCTTCTAAATTGATCGCCGTGCGTGATATTATCTAAAATGTGCACTAAGCCTCCAGGAGTAGAACATTTGAATGACAAAATGATGCACTTTTGTTTAACCTCAACCGGTTCCACATCTGGATGTGTGGCAATGCTAGCTACTAGTTTGTCTGTTTCTCCTCTTAGAATATCTGACGATTGATCTAAATTTTGTATGGAAGCTTGCAGGTTGTTTTCGAGTAAGACTTCTGCTCTTTTCTTTATTTCTTCATTTTCACATGTTGTCAGCAGTTTAAACTCAAAAACTAAAAGGAGACAGAAGAGAAACTGAACTGCGATGATATATATACATATAATATGCATATGTGTTGTTAAACTCTTTTTGTGAAATCGTATTATGTATACAAATTGCAGACATTGATAAATTCTTATTTAATGTCTTATTCTAATTTATCTCTTATATACTCACCATGTTTTTGTTTGAACGTGATATCTTTTTGGCTCAACTGGTTCAGGTTATCTTTCAATTCCGTTATAGTTTCTACAAAAAAGGATTGTTATTATATAATTTTGTGTATTGTTCACAGAACGTTGTAAATTTATCACAAAATAAATGTTTAATATTGCAGATACATGTGTTTCCTGTTATATTAAATACTATCAAAATATCTATGGTTACCCAGCAATATACTCATTCTTAGAAATAAATAAATATACCGTTGTAGACATCGTTCAAAGTTTTCACTTCAACGCCAGATTCCTTAATCTGTTTAAAATACTCCTCAGCGTCACATCCTCCTTCTTCTTTTTTCTTATAACGCTCAATAAGATGTCCAACCTTTAGTCTCTCGTCTTCAGCAATGTTTCTTGAAAGATCTTTTAGGCAAACGATAAGATCAGTCCAATTGATCATAAAGTCATCTGCATCAAGAGACTGCAATGCAAGGACAGCATAATTTACCCTAACACTTTTGATGAGCCCTATATTCATGATTTCGTTTTGACTTTGATCATCATCAAACATGAACAGCAAAACTGATGCCAGAAGAAACACATCCCAGTTTTTATAATCGGAACAAGACTCTTGTTGGAAGAGGCAACTGAAAAATTTCTCTTCAATATTTCTAGTCAGCGCTTCCTTCTTTTTTTCAAGAAATTCCGATAGGTCTTTGTCGCCCAACTTTTTATCCAGTATCCCACATAACACGATATGCCCTCCATCGAACAAAAGTTTAATGTAACGTACAAATCTCTCGGGTGTTGTTTGGAAATATACCTGAAACTCTACAATAAAATGAGAGAGAGGTGTGATTAGCCATTTATATTGAAAAGAAAATGAAAGACATGTAAATTTATAAGTACATAAATAAAGAAATGATACATGATAATATTATATTATTCCACACCAAGAAAAAAACAATGTAATAAGCAAAACCGGACAATTATTAATACTAACCCTGTGATCTTCTACTCAATTCTTCAACCTGAAATAGAAGGCACTTAAAAATGAATTTCAATGCAAATAACTACATTTATCGGATTGAAGAAAGTGTGCAGGGTTTAGTTAAATTATCATTTAGATAGTTTGACTTGTGTAACAGTTGCTAGCAGACCCATTAGAAAGTATAGTTACAAGTATGCAAATAAGACTACAAGTTTAAATGTTGTCACAATATTAATCTAACATACAAATATGTAGAAATTAACAGTGCTTGTAAAATAAATTCCACTTTAATATATTGATATGTTTTAGACTGAAATATTTGAGAGAAATATATGTAACTGGTGAAATAATACGTAATTTGAAAGCATTGACCTTTTCTTGAAGGTGGTCAAATTCTTTTTTGTAGCTAGGCAATTCATCCAGTAACCTCTTCACTCTAGCATTATCTGTATCTACATTTATTTGTTTGTATTTATTTATTCTTCGTTCAAAGTTTTCACAAGGTTTCGAGTCAACACGTTCAACCACTCTCAACAAGATAGCTTTAATTTTTGCCCACGTCTTTTCATACTCTGCCTCCGACAATTTAGCATCCGCTCGATGACCTATAATTTTGTTTCTGACATCTCTCAATCGAAGAAGATCAGCACTAAGACCTTCGTCTTTCGGGTGTGGTTTAGTTTGCCAACCGCTTTGTTGTTTTTGTATATTATCTTTACACAAATTAAGTATAACTCTTATCAAAAGAGAAATATCGAATCTATCTAGATTCAAAACTTGACCAGAAACCAGATCATAGTCATACCTGTTTATGACATTTTTTTTAAATAGTTCCCTCAATATATTTTGCTCCTCTAGAGATGAGAGAAAGCCTGTGATGTCTTCACTTTTTATCAAGTATTTGAACACTTTAAATAATACTTCTCTTGTCAGGTCTGTGTACATAAGACTAGTTCTTATGTAATTCGTTCTTTCTTCAGACATTTCACACATGATAAATTAGAAGAAATCAATTTGCATTGAAAGCGAAATAAGTGTCTGATATACATTCTCCATCAACAAAAGTTCTGAAACAAGTTTAGATTAAAAATGCTGTGAGTATTTAACACAATACTGTTTTAGTTGAAAGTGTTATAACTTAGGTTATAATTGCAAATTATAAAATCTGTAAATAAAACTAAATAAAACAGATTATGGGGCATTTTCCTGATATTTATTTTTTTAATTATAGCATTATATGCCCGAAAGTGTTTTTATTGTGTTGTTTTTTTTTTTTTTTTTGTTTTTTTTTTTTTTTTTTGTTTTTTTTTTTTTAGAAAAGAATGAAACATTTGTAAGACATGTAAATTAGGTACAGTATTACCTCCTTCAAAAAAGCAATCCTCCTTTATAGCTGAAGAACCTTCATATATATATACAGTTGCTGTTTTTCAAAGCACCAACATCAAGTTGTAGTTATGCTCCAGAAACCACAACTTTCATTGTAAAGATCATTGTGATCCTGACCTTTGACCTTATGACCTTAAAATCAATAGGGGTCATGTATAGGACATGGCTGTTCATCCTATAAAATTTTACAGCTGTAGGTTGATTAATACTTAAGTTATTGAGCGGAAACTGTTTTCAATTTTAAAGTAAAAGTGACCTTGACCTTTGACCTGGTGACCCCAAAATCAATAGGGGTCTTCTAACCAATATGGACAATCATCCTATATAGTTTGAATACTGTGGGCCAAATGAAACTTAAGTTATGCTCCGGAAACCATTTCAGTTTTAAGGTAATAGTGACCTTGACCTTTGACCTTGTGACCCCAAAATTAATTCGAGTCTTCTACCCAATATGGGCAATCATCCTATGAAGTTTGAAGACTGCGGGCCAAATTAAACTTAAGTTATGCTCCGGAAACCAAATTGCTAACGGACAGACGGCATATAAAAATTGTTAAAATAAACAAGACCGAAAAAGTGATAAATATGGACATGTGTCGCACTTTGTACCGGTCAAGTGTCATTAAAATCATTTGCTTCTACAGAAATATAAAAAGGTACTTCAAATCTTAACAAAAACCAATTAATTATGTCCCTAAAGAGCAAACAAACGTGACACTTTTACATTGGCACCAGGAATGTTCTTTGCGGAACATATCAATATCGTCCACGTGTAATTGATGTTGACTTTGCGGCGGTGCCACTGTTTTTTTTTCTGCTGTAACACTTGTCAGGATTTATGAACGTAGTCATGGGCACCAGATTAAAGAAATTGCCCGTCAGCACGTGCGTATGGGACATCAGCGTTTCCGTAATACTTTCTTAAAAGATGAACCTTAATTCAGGTAAGACTTTCATGATAAACGCATACGAGCCGATTCATTTCTGCTGTGTGGCTGAGCATGACCGATTTGAGGGTGTGTCAGACTTAGTATTGGCTGGCATTTCTTATTATGGCAGTACGGAAATTAACGTCATCAAAAAAGGGCCAATGTTGATGGTTACGAAGACGATATACTTACAACTATTTGTATAGCCTTCCGCTGGAATGTTGTCCAGACACTGTACACTTATCTTATGGTTGATTACGCCCATGATTGTCATCGAATACTAGAACACGGAAGTAATTGAGTGTACGGAATGGACAGCAAGATCCCCTGATTAAAACACAACAAAACAATTATTTGATATACTTCAACGTCGACTATCAGACCGAAACCATAGATGTTCTGTTCAATGTCCTAGCAGAGAAGTGGAACAGGATTATTGTTAATATCAAAAGACGATGCTAAACAGTTGTCACATCACAAGAGGGTACGCTCGATACTGAACAAATCACGCTAACGAAAGCGTTAGCGATCGCGTAACAAACAGGTTAGTCGTTTTAATGATTGTTTTTGTTACATAACTAGAAATTATCGTTACATCTGTCATAGACACATAGAGTACATTGCACTACAAATAATAATGGAAGAGAAAGGTAAAAGGCGACCACGCTTTGAAAAAGATGAACTTGAAATACTTTGTCATGAGGTAGGTCTGAGAAAAAATTCATTATTTGGTAAATTTATTGATACTATTTCTCTTGAGAAAAAGAATAAGTCGTGGGGCAAAGTGACAAACAAGATCAATGCTGTCTCTCAGGTTACTCGTACGGTTGACGAAATACGGCGAAAATGGAATGATTGGTCAAGCACTGTCAAGGTCAAAGCATCTAAAAAGAAAAAAAAAGCCAAACCAAAACTGGTGGTGGTATTGACACTTTGCCTGATTAAAGTCTGTGGGAAGAGAAGGTATAAGTTATTCTGGGAAAAGTTGTAGTTTCTGGTTTACCTGAAGGGATGGACACGCGTGGGAGTCCAAGTTCACTGAGTCCGAGTCAGAATTTTTCTGACATATACAATGAAGAACCAAAAGAAAATCCAAACTCGGACGACAGTGAAACAGCTTTTGCTGTCAGCACATTAGAGACTTATGAAACGCCAGGGAATTCTGATAGTGGTGATACGGTTATAATCGACCAAGAACCTGAAGTGCAATCTCTTAAGAGGTGCTTAGAAAAAACACCTTCACTTGACAAAAAGCGAAAGAAGACGGGAAGTCAACTAGTTTCAGACGACATTTTATCCATTGAAAAGGAAAGACTTCGCATTGAGGGAGAAAGGTTAAACATTGAAAAGTCACGTCTTGATATAGAAAAGTCGAGAGCTGAGAAAGAAGAAAAAGTTATTGAACTTTTGACTAGATTAGTTAGCCAGAGGGACGGTTCTCTAAACAACCATTTTGCTGACCAATTCACTGAAGCACAGACATATACGTCTTTGTAAAGGTATTTGTTAATCCAAGAACACAAGAAGTGTTTTTATAAAAAATAGTTTTGATTTGACCAAATGTTCAATATTTGAATACTGTAGGATATGCATATTATGGTGTTTCATTCTATGATTTAAAATAATATCAAAGTCAGTATTTCATTTTGACAGAACATCGTCTTAAAAATTCATTTTCAAACTGTTTATTTATTAAGTCCTATGACTGTTTCCGCTGATACAAACTTGATCCCTCATCAAGATTATTTCCACGAAATTGTTTACTTTTTAAGATCATTCGTAAAAATGATGGCTTGCGAGATTTTGATTTTTGTTCGGCTCTTATAAGTACAACAATACATATTATTCCGTATAATTTCAATTTTCGGTAGGCAAGTGAGAAAACCTTGTGATATTGAAAATAAACTGTTAAAATGTGATTCAAGCCGTTTTTATGAGGTAACGCCAATGTACGTGAATTGTGCTTTGCGGTAACGGCGGACAATGTGATTCTTTCTTATATGGTACAGACTTATTACACAGGTTACACAACTTTTATCGGCGAATATAATTAAGTTATTTGCAACCTATAGTCAATGTATTTTCTTCGTTACAAAAAAAATTATGATAATTAGATCTTGACAAACTTTCAACATTTTGAATGCTTATTGTAACTTAGTACAATTTGACAATTGTTTCCTGAAATGATATATTATTTGTGAACATGCTGTCCACGTCTGATCTTGTTAGAAAATAAAAAACAATAAACTTAGTTGTTTGCAAATAAATTGAATATAAAACAATAGAAAACAATCAAGAGAAGAAGTGTCTGTATATTTTATACCTGGAATGAGGTACCAGTAAAGCTTGAAAGTTTCCACATGTCCTTTATTGTGTTGGCGTGATGTGAAACCCAACCAAAACAAAGATTTGACTGTATCAATTTGCCTGGTGACTTTCTGTGAAAATGGATTATTTATTTTATTTATATTTTCCCTTATTTAAGGAAGTAACTTGTATTCAAAAGATATTTATTTAGAAACTATAATGCCCAAAACTTGTAAAAGCATAACCTTATTGTCCTCTGCTAAAGTTAAATAAATTATTACCCTTGGGGTAAAGATTAACCCTACTCTTAGTGTTTCTTATTATATGTTAACTTGTATGGGAAAAACATATGAATCTACCGTAAGAGTTTATGCTAGGCATTACTATAGACATTTACAAAACTAACAGGACTAATGACCCTAAAAAAGGCCACCAGTACAGAGCCAGGTCACATCCATACAGAGTGACCATTTGCTCACTCAGGTAGCTCATTTGTACAAATACATTAAATATCTAATAGCAATTTCCCAGACTTTGAATGAACTGTTCCAAGTTCACAGCTGAACAAAACCATTTCATAAATTTACCAGGTAAAGGGTGACATTGACTAAAGATAGGTTGAATATATTAGTTACCGGTTCTGCGGCATTGAGTCTGGTCCCCACAGGGGCCAGCCGGAATTGGCCAGATATGAGCTGTATAGTACGATTTTCGGCTCAACGTCTGCAAAATACCAGAGTATTCCCGACGGACACACCTATACCCGCGGACACCCGGACACACAATGCACGACACATTTATTCTTCAATCTGCTGTCGGATTTTTTTTCATCTTATGTAGCCTTGATTTCTGTTTTTCTGGCTAGCCGTAAAGCGGGAGATCGCTGTGATAAGTAATTTGACATTACATTATGGAATTAGCCAATGGTCTTTTTTGCACAAGTTTTACCCTATCATCTCTAGCCAGCCTGCATAGCCGGAACCGCCGGCGTTGACAAAAATGAGTTCCGACTGTTCCGGCTCTTCCGGCTGTCTGGCTAACTTCACGAACATTAAGTACGCTTATTTGTGGTTTGAAAATAACTTTTTAAAAATGATAAACTCAATAACGGTCTCGATGTGTTAATCGGCTATTTTACACCGATTATGAGTTTTGATGCGTAGATAATGACCACAAAGGCCGTATGCATTTTATTACTCGGGTAGAATTTTCCGTAAAAAATATAGAACAAATTTGAAATTATGTCAAGATTAACCGATTTCCCAAAAGTCTTAGAATAGCTCATCTTACGAAAAAGTCTCGGAAGAACAATAATCCAGATCACAAAAAAAATGTACATCTATTACAAATCTCTGAAATAGTTAAATATATAAACTATGTACATGTACCAAAACAAATTGCGCACTTGAGTATAGATAAAGAAATTA